AGTTCTTCACGACATAGTGTGTTACCAATTGTTTTCTTGGTGACTATGGTCCCAGCTGCCTTGAGATCATTGACAAGATCCTCCCGTGTAGTTCTGGGCTGATTCCTCACCGTTCTCATGATCATTGCAACTCCACGAGGTGAGATCTTGCATGTAGCCCCAGGCCGAGGGAGATTGACAGTTATTTTGTGTTTCTTCCATTTGCGAATAATCGCACCAACTGGTGTCACCTTCTCACCAAACTGCTTGGCGATGGTCTTGTAGCCCATTCCAGCCTTGTTTAGGTCTACAATCTTGTCCCTGACATCCTTGAAGAGCTCTTTGGTCTTGGCCATGGTGGAGAGTTTGGAATCTGATTGATTGATTGCTTCTGTGGACAGGTGTCTTTTATACAGGTAACAAACTGAGATTAGGATCACTCCCTTTAAGAGTGTGCTCCTAATCTCAGCTCGTTACCTGTATAAAAGACATCTGGAAGCCAGAAATCTTTCTGATTGAGAGGGGGTCAAATACTTATTTCCCTCATTAAAATGCAAATCAATTTATAACATTTTTGACATGCGTTTTTCTGGATTTTTTTGTTGCTATTCTGTCTCTCACTGTTAAAATAAACCTACCATTAAAATTATAGACTGATAATTTCTTTGTCAGTGGGCAAACATATAAAATCAGCAGGGGATCAAATACTTTTTTCCCTCACTGTATATGGGGGTTACAACCATCCCAGCTCTGCAGATTTTGCTGCGAAGAGACAGAATCATTAGATCATTTGTTTTGGTACTGTCCATATGTAGCTTGTTTTTGGTCACAGGTTCAGGAATGCCTGAAGAATTACAACATTTAAATGGAGCTAACTCTGCAAATAGCACTGCTGGGTGATTTGAAAAGTCATAGTCAATCAATCAATAATATAATAATACTTTTAGCAAAAAATTGTATATTTAATTTACAGTCTGTAGAAACTATGAGAATAGAAAGGTTCAGAACTTTTGTGAAACAGCACAGTTTAAAAATATATGGCAAATCAAAACTGGATGGTGTTAAGAGATAGATGGGAGGGGTTGTGCAGATCTGAAGGGTGGTACTAAAAACAACAAGATAAATAACGTAAAATATACTGTGTCCTTAAAATGTATATAGGTTCTGAACTTTTGTGAAACCGCACAGTTAAAAATATATGCCAAATAGAAATCAAAACTGGATGGTCTTCAGAGATAGATGGGAGGGGTTGAGAGTAGCTGAAGGATGCGATTAAAAACTTTTATAAAAGAGAACTATTGTAAAATACATTGTGTCCGTAAAATTCACAGTTGAAGTCGGAAGTTTACATACACTTAGGTTGGGACAAAGGAATGTGTAGTATCTGTGGAAAAAACTGTGTGTCAATTGTGGGGGAACCCATGTTGCTGGGGATCAGAAGTGCCCGGTGCGAGAGAGACAGGTTGAGGTTGCCAGGGTCAGAGTAGAACAGAAGGTTTCCTATGCTGAGGCAGTCAAAACAGAAAAAGTGTGTCAGTGTCTCTTGTGAAAACAGTGAACAATTTGTGTGAACATTTCTGAAATATAATATATACTGTGGAGCCAGTTTCCATGACTCAGATTAAGCTTAGTTCTGGGCTAAAGTGCACTTTCAATGAAGATTCTCCATTGAGAATAATTTTTAAAAAAATCTAGGACTAGTGTTAGAGTAGAGGATGATGGGTCAAGGGTGAGTAGTAGGCCTAGGTCAATAAAGAGTGATACGAATTTGTGTTTCAGTAAGGTTGGCTTCTTAGCATTCATTGCCATGGTTATCAACTGTACTGCAGAAATTGAACTTAGATCACAGAGAATAGATGTTGTGGTGGCAGCTGCAGAGAAGTACTTTCTGTACAAGGTTTTATTGCAGAAGAGTTACAAAGTGTGTTGAGCGAAAGAGCCTTCCTCCCAGGCAGTCAGCCTGGAGTAGGATCAGTTAGGGTCAAAGTAGTGGAATGGGGTTGTGATTTTTATTTAAATGTTTTATTTTGATAAAATAGTGGTATATGGGTGTAGGGTTAGTTGGTGTTTGCAATATTTTCCTTTCCCCCCAGTATGAAAATGTATGCACTCACTAACTGTAAGTTGCTCTGGATAAGAACGTCTGCTAAATGACTAAAATGTAAATGTAATTTTTGTATCACAAAATGTAACGTGATCGACCACACACTCCCGCACAGTAGGTGGCGGCATGCACAAACAAATGTGCGAACGCCGTGATGTGTGTGTTGCTGCAGAATGATTATGATGGTTAGCTAGCTAGCTGAACGCCAGTCTTCTGCGGCTGTGAAGTGGTTTTGTTTGAGACCAAGCCAGCTAACTAGCTAGCTACCTCACTGGCCAACACCATACAATATTATATGAAATTGCATTATTCAGGCTGGCGTCAAGCAAGTTAAAGGTGAGTAGCTATATCTGTCAGCCAGATACATTTATATCTAAGTTAGCAGGATACTGGCTGGCATACGCATGTGTTGAAATGTAATAGCTAGTCTGTCGTTAGGTAAGCTGCGTTTCACAAGACGAGATAAACCTATAACGTTAGTTTTGTTTTGACACTGTCGGCTACTATGGCTAGATAACTAACTAGTTAGTAATCTAATAATAGCGAGGAAGCTAGCCAATTGAAGGTATTTTATCAACATGCTACATTAGCTAGCTAGCTGTACAGCATCACTCTGACAACAGCGTGTTGTATTTTTAACGAGTGCGTTTAGCTAGCTAGCTAGCTAACGTTAACTGGCTAGTTGCTTTGTTAGCTAACTAGCTATCTTTTTGGGGGGCGGTACTGACTTGAACGCTACAATTATTAGCCAGCTATCCATTATCACGATGATGCTAACTAACGATAATCCTAATAGAGCTAGCTAATAAACAATAACAACATCTATTTATTTATCGAACAACTTGAACATAGTCATGTTGTTGAAAACAAGACTCGTGTCCCAGTTCATTTGCTAAATAAAGTTCTGACCCATATGGTTCTGCTCTTGTTTTTGTTTTTTCGGTCACCATGTTAGAGGGGGATGATGTACTGTCCTGTGAGGTTTGGTGTCGTTTTCTCATGTCAGCGTCATGTTGACACAAGTGGCTCTAGTCTGACTTTATAGCCCTATTTTACATCCAGCAGACAGTGTTCCCAGCCGGAGCCGGAACTAGTGGTTTGGTTTGGATCTCAGAAAGGCCCATCTGGTGTGCACAATGGGAGGGAGGCAGCTGTCCATGTTTTTCTGGAAGAGAGGCTGCGTTAGTGGCACTATGTAACAGGGGTGTATTCATTACGGAATTGCATAGAATTCTACGTCGGCCAGAAATTAGGGTTTGAATCAGGAAAGTTTACTCTCTCAACCTCTACAAGCCAGAATGTTGAATACAATTATATTCACCTGAAGCATGCACAGAAGATACAAATACATGCACAAGACCCATGCATACTCGCCGAGCTCGTGCACGTGTTCACATGGTTCTGCGCATGCTTCAGGTGATATAAATCTGAATGCACTACCAGCGCTTTGAAAAGTTGATGTAATTATACTTTCTTGTGGATATATTGTCTCATTCTTACCGCCAAAAGGAACAACCACACAGACAACTGGTAAAGTACTTTGAAATATAATTTTATTCAACATTCCCCCGAGTGGCGCAGTGGTCTAAGGCACTGCATCGCAGTGCTAGCTGTGCCACTAGAGATCCTGGCTCGAATCCAGGCTCTGTCGTAGCCGGCCGCGACCGGGAGACCCATGGGGCGGCGCACAATTGGCCCAGCGTCGTCCAGGGTAGGGGAGGGAATGGCTGGCAGGGATGTAGCTCAGTTGGTAGAGCATGGCGTTTGCAACGCCAGGGTTGTGGGTTCGATTCCCACGGGGGGCCAGTATGAAAAAATAATTTTAAAAAATAATGTATGCACTCACTAACTGTAAGTCGCTCTGGATAAGAGCGTCTGCTAAATGACTAAAATGTAAAATGTAATTCTGGCTTTTAGAGGTCATGAGAGGAAACTTTCCTGATTTTTTTTTTAATTTATGCTAATTTCTGCCTATGTATAATTCAATGCAATTCAACATATGGTTTTCAGGCAAGATCCCTCCTTGTTTAGTTCCTTGTTTCCTTAAAAAAATTTTTTTGCACAGAATCGCCGGAATGAATATGCCACTGGTCCTTGGTAATTTTGTGGTGTTTTGTCTTTGGAGGGGTCGTGACGGTAGGGCCTGGTCCATGCCTCAGGCCACCGGAAGGAAATGATACCCTACCTGTCCAGGGTCTGTGATTAAGGGGGTGGGGTTTTAAGGCTGCTCCTGACCTATCCCAATGATGGGGGATTTTCCCCCTTGGGGCCAAGCCTTTGTGGCTGAGTTTGCATGTTTCGGCATTCCTCGAGATTTCTGGTAGGTCCTCTCCCTGAAAACAGCAGTGAAAATGGTTAATGTCCCTTTGACCAACCCATTCTGATTTTATGTTGCCTTGTAACTCAATACTGAAATTACATTGTAGACACAAGTTACCTTCCAAAATGACATAGAATCGAAGTAGATGGATTTGATTGGGGAAGGGAAAGCATCAAGTTGCTGAAATATGTGTGCATTAGGCTAGATTTGATTATGTCCTGTTAATATGACAATGTGTCTTCCATTTCGTTCCAGGTATTTGAGGAAAATATATGCAGTGGAACTCTCTAGGCTACACAACCACCTTCCTCATCAGCCTCTGGATCTCCTCAGTGTGTAAAAATGGATCCTTTGATAGTTGCCTGGCTGAAGGACTGATCTACACGCTGGACTTCAAAGATGGAGAGGAAACGCAGAAAGAAATGAAAAGAAGATCAGGCCGTGTGCAATGAGGGCATCTGTGAGCTCTGGACACGAACTGCTCTGTTGATGGATGATTGCCATATCAGCCATATTTTTGTCTTGTCATATGTTAAACAATTCCCCCTGGCTGCTAGGAGGCCTTCTCTGGGCTTGGAGGGATAAAGACTATATCTGATGGGTGGTGAACAGAAAAGGACAGCTTGGACCATGACCCTGGTGCCTATATGGCTCTCCCTACTAGTGGCCCTGCTATGTGGCAGGTTGCCTCTAGTGGGGACAGAGGGAGGAGGTGGGACCGCATTCACCTCCACCTCATCTCCCAACCCTGATGGGAACCACAGTTCCAACTGCTCAAGTCTCACTGTGAAGCTGGAGTTCTCCACCAAAGTAGTTGAACATGGTAAGTTCTGTTACTGTTGTCTATTAGTTTTTTTCTTGAGCTTTTACAAGAACACATTTAAAGCATGGTGAAAGTCTAAACAATGATTCAAACATACTGATTTAATGCATATTTCCTCTGTAAACCACAGTATGTTTGGGAGATTTTCAGGTCACACATTATTTGTTTAAGATGATTGCCATTTATGACATGCAAGTCAAGTGTATTTTTCTATTTTATGGTGTTTGTGTTCAATGAATTGCCACTCATTGACCACAGACCAACAACACAATGTGTGCCTGGCAGGATGATCACAGTCACAGTCTACACGGCTGAAGATTCCAGGCTTGGCAGGCAAACTGTGTTGGCATATTCAATGGCTGTTGTCCCAGAGAGTACACAACCACCCCCCTCCCCTCCTTTCTCTTAAAGGTTCAGTCAGAGTAGTCTGTCTGGATGCTTGTCTTTGCAGCCCTGCTGTGGACTAGGCTGATGGAACACCATGCCAGAATATAACGTGATATTTATAGTCCCCTTAATATTGGCCTGCGACTGAATGTGCCCTTTGTGCCACAGCCCTATTTTTTTATGAATTCCTAGTGACCCGGTGAGAGCGGTGCATTGTGAAACATTTTTACATTTACATTTTAGTCATTTAGCAGACGCTCTTATCCAGAGCGACTTACAGTTAGTGAATACATATATATATATATATATTTTTTTTTTAAAGTATACTGGCCCCCCATGGGAATCGAACCCACAACTCTGCCGTTGCAAACGCCATGCTCTATCAACTGAGCTACATCCCTGCCGGCCATTCCCTCCCCTACCCTGGACGACGCTGGGCCAATTGTGCGCCGCCCATGAGTCTCCCGGTCGCGGCCGGCTGCGACAGAGCCTTGATTCGAACCAGGATCTCTAGTGGCACAGTTAGCACTGCGATGCAGTGCCTTAGACCACTGCGCCACTCAGGGTGAGAGGTCATCATGACAGAGTGGTGGGGCTAAGGGGTCAAGATTACTTGAAGGGCCTTGTGCAGAGTCAATAAGGGATTTATTTTGTGGTTTTATGTCTCTGCCGTGCCAACACATATATGCTAAATTCATGAAAGTTAAGCTAAATTTGTGCCACATGCAATTGTACACTGATGGCACAATGTAGCAACTGAAAGTTATTCAATATGGTGTGATTCTAGGCTTCCTGTTGTCATCCAAGACTGTTCTTATGGGCTTTTATTTAACTGTTTTGGTTATTTTCTTCTGCTCAATGGTTCATGATAATTCCCAATAACTATATGATCTAGTTAGTTGTTATACATTTTTTAATTTTCAGGGCTTTGTAGAAAAGTAATATCCCTATTGCAATGAAGATGGCAGAGGAACTGCTAATACAATGCTGCACTGTTGACTTGTAATCGGAGGGAAGTGCAGAGTTGAAGGGTACCAGCCCAGAGATGTCACTGGGTAATTTTTCTTCTTCTAGAGCAGTGATGGGCAGCTGGCGGGCCGCGGCCCCCCTTTGTAGCTCCGCGGATCAATTTCCAAAACCCCCCAAAATACTATGTTTTTTGGGGAGGGGACTCAGTCGGGTTACTGTAGAATACGCAAGATGCAATTTAGAAATTTGGATGTGCATCAGCAGGTTTTCTCTTATGTCAGTCACTGACGGTCACTTAATTAGCCCATGTCAGATTTTGTTGTTGCGATTGGTAAATTAGTCTAGCCAGCTATCTAAACTTGTAGTAATCATGGTTGAATTACAGACTGGGGCGCCCCCATTGATTTTGTAAAGGTGTCTGCATGCTTCCCAGCCGGAAGAGTTCGTGCATATATTATGACGACATTTTGTGACGTTTTTGTTAGTTTTTTTTGGCTGTTTGGGCACCCATTTTTTCTGGAGGCAAACCGAAGTTTGGAGCCGAAGTCTACGCCCCTTCGTCAGTGATTGGTCAACAGTAGGGATTCTTCAATAAACTCTTTGTTGTCGTTACTTGTTTTCATGCACATTTTTTCATTAAGAAATACTGCACCAAATATCTTTGTTAGATGTAAAATTGCGCCACTAAGATCTCCTCTGCAAAAACGTCAAAATTAATGGCAGATTTCTTGAGGTATCTTTGATTAATTATGACTATTTTGAGGAAGTGTATGCTGGCTACGGCATCTCAAAATGGACAAACAGTACTATTGCCGCTTTTTCCTCAAAAAGCATTGGTCTTTTAACACTAGAACCGCCTGGCCTTTCAGCCTATAAATACCCGCTAGAGAACGTTGTCGGGCGTTCCTTTAGCATATCCATTAGATGCATATCAACCCGCACCCGCAAGGTGTAGCAAACCTAAGCACCAACGCTTGATAAATAGTACATAAACTATTATAAAGGATTAATTGCATGAAGAAATATTTGTGGAAATATATACATAAAAAAAAATAACCAATAGTTATTTGTTTAAATAGTCAAGGATATGTTTTGTATAATTCTACAAAGTCCTAGAAAAAACGTAGGCCAATATTAGTTTCCCTTAAAATAAAAACATTACAGTGTAATCATTTGATCAACTTTATTTGTAGATTCGATTAGTAGTAGTTGCATTAAACTTGCTTTAAAAATGCAACAGTTTCTCTACGGGGGGCCCAAAAGGCTAGGGCTGGCTCTGACTGCATGTGTGGGTACACAGCCCCGCCAGCCACTGCGGCCACTCATGGTTTGTAGCCCCCGCCCCCATCAAAGTTGCTCATCCATGTTCTAGAGATGAGAATATTACAGTGACTGCAATGGCAATCCCTGAGATTTTTGGACAACTAAAACTAATGGAGCCATTACAGCTTTACCTATATCGCTCTCCCCAAATGGCAATGCCACATATAAATCTGTCGACATTGGAATCTCCCACAGCCGGAAGCACAATTGCCATGCAGATACTTAACGATTACCATGTTCTCTCCTATTTCTCCAGAGTACATTGTGGCGTTTAATGGCTACTTTACAGCCAAGGCACGCAGCCACTTCATCAGCAGTGCTCTGAAGAGCTCCGAGGCCCTGGACTGGCGCATTGTGCCCCGGAAGAACCCAGCCAGTGACTTCCCTAGTGACTTTGAGGTGGTGCAGATCCGCCAGGCCTCTCGCAGCAGCCTGCTCACCCTGGAGGACCACCCTTACATCAAGAGGGTCACGCCCCAGCGCAAGGTGTTTCCGCACACTCAAGTATACACCCGACTGTGAGTCTCTATCTTCGCCTCTTATAGTCAAATATTTACACATGTTTTGCTCAGCCCCGCTTTCCTTGTTTTAACTGATCCACATATTTTGTGCTTTGTCTTCTAAACGGGTTGGTTGTTTAGCAACAAAACCAATGTATGCGCAACTATGGGGCAAAACAGACAGGGCTGGCTTAGATTGTAAACTATATTTCGCCTCCAATGTTTATTGAAAACATAAATAAAGTTGCTAAATAAGCACTTGTTGTCTCTCAAATACATCATTACAGTTGTTGGTTAGCTAGCCAGCAAATGTTAGCCTTATTAGCATAGACATGACATCAGTCAAAACACCTCAAAACAAGACATGGATCAAGAACAAGATCAAATGAGCTGAAACGAGCCACTTACGATTCACCACATGGCAGTTTCTTGTCATTGTTGCTCGCTATCAGACCATCCAGAACCATAACAACACACGTCCTTCTGCCCTTTGGAAGTGCGCATATCGTTTTTGTGAGGTTGTCAGCTAACCCGTATCTGGACCATCCCCATATCCCCCATACGTGTGTGTCATGTCGTATAGCTGCCCTTCAGTCATGTTTGAACACCCCCCAGTCTCTCCCCCTTGTAAACTCACCATGTTATTGTCCCTCACTTGAAACTGTTTCATTAAACTGTTTGATCTTGCACACGTCTACTCACAAATGATCCCATCCACACACTGACTGCTTTCAGTCAGTGTGTCTTTGTTGCAGTGCTCCAGGCAGTGCTCTGATATGTCCTTCTGTGTGTATGTGTGTGTCTGTGTTGTGTTTGGAAGCATTAAACGTTTAGTAGGGATCATATATCTTGCAACACATACCCCCTCAGCACTAACCAGCAGTAGGGCATCTCCAGACTGGTGGGGGGCTGGCAGAAAGGAAAGCTCTGTTTATTCCTGGGCGTTGGTAGAAACTTCTCTCTCTCTCTCAGGATGAAAGAGTGCTATGTCTGGGCACATTGGAGCCCCCCCTCCACCCCAGACTCCTTCTCCCACCACCTAGTCTGCATCTCTAGTTCAGTTCCCACTCACCACCATAATGACCATGCTGCACTGCAAACCAACAGTACCAATCACTGCCACCAATTTAAACATGATCTAATTAACTTGATAGAAGGGAAGTGCACTCAATATCACAGTGCTTTCTTTGTGTGATGCGGAGTTGCTAAACCATTTGGTGGTAGTTAGTGATGTTTTATTCCATTTGACATTAATCAGACTAAAATTATCTGAATTTTACAGCTTGCCATCCCAGCTTCATTTGGACGTGGTAATAAATATGATTGGCCATCACTATTGGAGTGACTGTAGGAGAATCACAGAGGGTAATAAATATACACTGAACAAAAATATAAATGCAACATGTAAAGTATTGGTCCCATGTTTCATGAGCTGAAATTAAAGATCCCAGAAATTGTACATACGCACAAAAAGCTTATTTCTCTTAAATTTTGTGCACAAATTTGTTTACATCCCTGTTAGTGAGCATTTCTCCATTGCCAAGATAATCCATCCACCTGACAGGTGTGGCATATCAAGAAGCTGATTAAACAGCATGATCATCACACAGGCATTCCTTGTGCTGGGGACAATAAAAGGCCACTCTAAAATGTGCAGTTTTGTCACTACTCAATGCCACAGATGTCTCATGTTTTGAGGGAGTGTGCAATTGGCATTCTGACTGCAGGAATGTCCACCAGAGCTGTTGCCAGAGAATGTAATGTTAATTTCTCTACCATAAGCCGCCTCCAACGTCGTTTTAGAGAATCTGGCTGTACGTCCAACTGGCCTCACAACCGCAGACCACGTGTAACCACACCAGCCCAGGACCTCCACATCCGGTCTGAGACCAGCCATCCGGACAGCTGATGAAACTGGGTTTGCACAACCGAAGAATTTCTGCACAAACTGTCAAAACTGTCTCGGGAATCTCATCTGCGTGCTCGTCGTCCTCACCAGGGTCTTGACCTGACTAGTTCGGCGTCGTAACTGACTTCAGTGGGCAAATGCTCACCTTCGTTGGCCATTGGCACACTGGAGAAGTGTGTTCTTCACGGTTGAATCCCGGTTTCAACTATACCGTGCAGATGGCAGACAGCGTGTATGGCGGTGTGTGGTTTGCTGATGTCAACATTGTGAACAGAGTGCACCATGGTGGGGTTATAATATGGGCAGGCATAAGCTACGGACAACGAACACAATAGCATTTTATCTATAGCAATTTGAATGCACAGATTTACCATGACGAGATGTTGAGGCCCATTGTTGTGCCATTCATCCGCCGCCATCACCTCATGTTTCAGCATGATAACGCACAGCCACATGTTGCAAGGATCTGTACACAATTCCTGGAAGCTGAAAATGGCCCAGTTCTTCCATGGCCTGCATACTCACCAGACATGTCACCTATTGAGCATGTTTGGGATGCTCTGGATCGACGTGTACGATAGCATGTTCCAGTTCCCGCCAATATCCAGCAACTTCGCACCGCCATTGAAGTGGGACAACATTCCACAGGCCACAATCAACAGCCTGATCAACTCTATGCGAAGGTAATGTCGCGCTGCATGAGGCAAATGGTGGGCACACTAGATACTGACTGGTTTTCTGATCCTCACCCCTACCTTTTTTTAAGGTATATGTGACTAACAGATGCATATCTGTATTCCCAGTCATGTGAAATCCATAGATTAGGGCCTAATTTATTTCAATTGACTGATTTCCTTATATGAATTGTTGCATATTGTGTTTTATTTTTGTTCAGTGTAATTAGACTTCATAGAGGAGCCATCAGCAGCTCTGTCAGTGTCACTGAGCAGTAGCCAGTGAGAAGAGGACTGTTACTGCAGTAGGGCCATTTCACATGATTAGATCAGCGGTGCTTGTTAATTGCCCACCACCATCACCCCTCTCTTGACTCTGATTATTGTAGTGGTCTGGTCGCTGTTGAGTGAGCTATCTGCTTTTGAATCCAATCATGTTCAACAACCTCAGGTATTCTGCATGATAAACTCAGTACAGTAGCTAATCATCATCCAGATTCAGTCAGAAATCACAATTTGGGGTATTCTGTAGCTTTTTGATTTGAAATTAGATCAAAGGAGATTGCTTCACTGGATACAGAATCAAGATATTACCCATCACATTGGGAGCTATCCATCAATCTCAATATCGTGCATACACCAATAATGTTTAACTCGATGTTTGTTTTGCGCTCCTGGGCTTTTCAGTGACGATTGTGTTTTTTGAAGATAATATTGTTCCTAATGTTTTCCTCTCTTGTCATCCCTTCCTTTCAGTGCCGGATCCTGGGGCAGCCTGCAACAACGACACCCGCTGGACCCAGAAGTGGCAGTCGTCCCGTCCGCTGCGCCGGACCAGCCTGTCTCTGGCCTCGGGCTTCTGGCACGCCACGGGCCGCCACTCCAGCCGGAGGCTCCTGAGGGCCATCCCCCGACACGTGGCCCAGATACTGCAGGCAGATGTCCTCTGGCAGATGGGATACACCGGTGAGGACAGATGGCAGGGGGCACTGTGTGTTTGTCTGGCTGTCTATTAGTGTGTAAACACTTGTGGGTTGTGTATGTTCCTGTGTTTACACTAACATGTCTGCTGTAGCCTACATACTTCTTGCTCGAGTACATTTACCTCCAGGCTGTTTCTAAATATCTGAATTCTTTGTGTGTAGGTTCTGGGGTGAAGGTGGCTGTTTTTGACACAGGACTCAGTGAGAAACATCCACATTTTAAGAATGTGAAGGAGAGAACCAACTGGACCAATGAAAAGACACTTGATGATGGTAAGATCATGGGCTGCTGACTGTACCCTTGTCTCTGGGTAGTGCTTAGTGATGGGATCTGCTTTTGAGGAGGAATGGATGTCTATTTCTGCTACATTGCACTACACTACATTTGGTCTCTTTCTCTCTGCAGGGCTGGGTCATGGTACCTTTGTAGCAGGGGTCATTGCCAGCATGAGAGAGTGTCAGGGCTTTGCCCCTGACTCTGAGCTTCACATCTTCAGAGTGTTCACCAACAATCAGGTGTCATACACCTCTTGGTTCCTGGATGCCTTTAACTATGCCATTCTGAAGAAGATTGATGTCTTAAACCTCAGCATCGGTGGTCCAGACTTCATGGACCACCCATTTGTTGATAAGGTGATTTAAAAGAAGATGCCCAAAGCTGTTAAACGGATTAGATTTTCTTAATGTGTATCTCACTCTGAATTGATCAAAATGTGTTTTTGTGTGTGCCAGGTTTGGGAGCTGACTGCTAACAGGGTTATCATGGTCTCTGCCATTGGGAACGATGGGCCACTTTATGGGTATGTTCTGACCTTGGGAGGAGAAGTGACGGCTAAGAGGACATAGTATTGATTGGTGCAAGATACTGATTAGTTTGAAAAACGATTATGAACAAAATATATGCAATGTATACGTTTTTATTGATGATACTTAATCCCTGTGTATCCTAGCACCCTCAACAACCCAGCGGATCAGATGGATGTGATTGGGGTCGGTGGGATAGATTTTGAGGACAACATTGCCAGGTTCTCCTCTCGGGGGATGACCACTTGGGTACGCCTCACTCACAACCCACAGCATAACCCTGAGTACCCTCTCACATGTCTATCTCAGTGTACTCTTACCTTTCCCAGTCAGAGTAAACTGAACTCTGTTCCCCAGCCTACGTGTTATCAGTCCCAGACTAGACATCTAACCCCGTGGATCTGCAGCCCCCGTCTCTGCCATAGAAAAACACTGAGATAGAGAAATTAAATGTGCTCTGTGCTCAGACCGTGAAGCAAATGGCACTTTATAGCCTGCTTTTTGTGGGACATATACTGTAAATGAGGAATGCAAACATTGTCTGATTGTCCCATGTTCTCCTCTTTCACTCTTTCTCCTATACTGCCTCTCTCCCACTCTTTATTCAACATGATTATGTCTTGTGTTTTAGGAGCTGCCTGGGGGGTATGGCAGAGTGAAGCCTGACATCGTGACTTATGGCTCTGGGGTGAGGGGCTCAGGGATGAAGGAGGGCTGCCGCTCACTCTCAGGGACTAGCGTAGCGTCACCTGTGGTGGCAGGAGCTGTGACCCTACTGGTGAGGTAAGTCATTTCAATGACTACCCTTACAGCTGCATCAGCGTTGTAAAAAAAAAGTTATTCCATCAGTCACCTAAGCCATATGACACTGTTTTAGAAATGGAAGGCGCAAAGGACCCAGTTCTCAGGATGGCTATGCTGCCCTACCAAGCAAAAAGGCAGTAACTGCTCATTTGGTCAAAAATGAATTAATGTAATTTTTGCTACATTAAATACATGCTTAATCATGTGGACAAGTATCCTGCCTCGTTTTGTGTTACTGTGAAACCAAGGTAAATAAAAGCAATTTTTGTCATTTCCACGCTATGAGCAGTTACTGCCTTTTTGCTTGGTAAGGCAGTATGGAGGCGTAGTCTTTACATAACCAGCGGATGTGTAACTTTGAGAAAAGTGTTGTTGCTTGTTCTAACTCCATCACCCTTCCTGGCTGTCGACACCTCCCTTTTACCCAGGCCTCTCCCTCCCACATTATCTTATTTCACTTCCTACACACACACACACACACACACACACACACACATACACACTGGAGATAACACCGCTGTTCAAGATGTTATTCATGGTCTTAATCTCAGCCATATTTGCTTTGTGAGAGTTGCTGCTTTTTATCTGTGAGCAGAATAACTTCAGAACGTAAATTACACACCTGATACGGTCTGCCTCGGGTAAGTTATTTGCTGTCATGAGGATTGGCTGTTGCATGCCATACTGAAGCCATTATTACTTTAAGTGAAAAGCTGAGACCTGGCCAAAGTGTGAAAATTCTTCTGTAGTCTGCCAGCAGTTTACTGTCATTTTATGTTGAACAATAATTACCATTAAGACGTACATATCTCAATGGGTTGTCATACATCTTCTGTGTTCAAACATTAGCTAGCTTCAGCCCAGTAGCATTAAATAATCCAATTGATAAATTGGTCTAGTTCTGCAGTTTCTGAAAGAGACACCTTACTCAGCAGCATTTCTCTAAGAGACTGAAAACCTCATTTGCAGTGTTAGTGACAGACTAAGAGTCCGGAAGGGCTGATCAATTGCAACAACAGTCTTCTGGTTCAATATGCAGTTACAATTTAACGGCCAGACTGTCTGTGTGGACTCTTTGGGATAAATGAAACATCAATAGATATCCTTCACTTCAAAACAACAAGGACATAGACATTTAACAGAATCAATTGACACACTTTCACTTTCTCTCTACACTTTTTATGTAGACAGAGTCCAGACAGAGTTTAATCCAGACTTCTCACGTCTCATACAAATTGGTTTATTGCACCTACAGTGGGGAAAAAAAGTATTGTCAGCCACCAATTATGCAAGTTCTCCCACTTAAAAAGATGAGAGAGGCCTGTAATTTTCATCATAGGTACACGTCAACTATGACAGACAAATTGAGGGGAAAAAAATCCAGAAAATCACATTGTAGGATTATTTATGAATTTATTTGCAAATTATGGTGGAAAATAAGAATTTGGTCACCTACAAACAAGCAAGATTTCTGACTCTCACAGACCTGTAACTTCTTCTTTAAGAGGCTCCTCTGTCCTCCACTCGTTACCTGTATTAATGGCACCTGTTTGAACTTGTTATCAGTATAAAAGACACCTGTCCACAACCTCAAACAGTCACACTCCAAACTCCACTATGGCCAAGACCAAAGAGCTGTCAAAGGACACCAGAAACAAAATTGTAGACCTGCACCAGGCTGGGAAGACTGAATCTGCAATAGGTAAGCAGCTTGGTTTGAAGAAATCAACTGTGGGAGCAATTATTAGGAAATGGAAGACATACAAGACCACTGATAATCTCCCTCGATCTGGGGCTCCACGCAAGATCTCACCCCGTGGGGTCAAAATGATCACAAGAACGGTGAGCAAAAATCCCAGAACCACACGGGGGGACCTAGTGAATGACCTGCAGAGAGCTGGGACCAAAGTAACAAAGCCTACCATCAGTAACACACTACGCCGCCAGGGACTCAAATCCTGCAGTGCCAGACGTGTCCCCCTGCTTAAGCCAGTACATGTCCAGGCCCGTCTGAAGTTTGCTAGAGTGCATTTGGATGATCCAGAAGAGGATTGGGAGAATGTCATATGGTCAGATGAAACCAAAATATAACTTTTTGGTAAAAACTCAACTCGTCGTGTTTGGAGGACAAAGAATGCTGAGTTGCATCCAAAGAACACCATACCTTCAGTGAAGCATGGGGGTGGAAACATCATGCTTTGGGGCTGTTTTTCTGCAAAGGGACCAGGACGACTGATCCATGTAAAGGAAAGAATGAATGGGGACATGTATCGTGAGATTTTGAGTGAAAACCTCCTTCCATCAGCAAGGGCATTGAAGATGAAACGTGGCTGGGTCTTTCAGCATGACAATGATCCCAAACACACCACCCGGGCAACGAAGGAGTGGCTTCGTAAGAAGCATTTCAAGGTCCTGGAGTGGCCTAGCCAGTCTCCAGATCTCAACCCAATAGAAAATCTTTGGAGGGAGTTGAAAGTCCGTGTTGCCCAGCGACAGCCCCAAAACATCACTGCTCTAGAGGAGATCTGCATGGAGGAATGGGCCAAAATACCAGCAACAGTGTGTGAAAACCTTGTGAAGACTTACAGAAAACGTTTGACCTGTGTCATTGCCAACAAAGGGTATATAACAAAGTATTGAGAAACTTTTGTTATTGACCAAATACATATTTTCCACCATAATTTGCAAATAAATTCATTAATAATCCTACAATGTGATTTTCTGGATTTCTTTTCTCGTTTTGTCTGTCATAGTTGACGTGTACCTATGATGAAAATTACAGGCGCCTCTCATCTTTTTAAGTGGGAGCACTTGCTCAATTGGTGGCTGACTAAATACTTTTTTCCCCCACTTTATCTCCATCTGTCTCTAAAACATCATCCCTCTCTTTTTCTCATAGCAAGCTATTGAGTCAGATGGTAGCGCTTGCTTCATATTTCCCATCTTTGTTGAAACATAATGCAAAGCTAATGTAACAGTTGTTAATCCACTTGTGTCTCTCCTACAGCACGGTGTTGAACAGAGAGCTTGTGAACCCAGCCAGTATGAAGCAGGCTCTGATCGCATCAGCACGGAGGCTCCCTGGAGTCAACATGTTTGAACAGGGCCACGGAAAACTGGACCTCATCAGAGCCTACCAGATCCTCAACAGCTACAAACCCCAGGCCAGGTACTACACACACTCTCACTTTACCTAGTTTTCACTTTACACTCAAGTCACATGTTAAATGTTCACTCTTTTTTTTTTTTTACTTTGAAAGGTTCTAGCAATGTCCAATAATCATCACTCTAACCTGATCTCATGTTGATTTGATCCTGTTTGTCTTTAGTCTCAGTCCCAGCTACATCGACCTGACTGAGTGCCCCTACATGTGGCCTTACTGCTCCCAGCCCATCTACTACGGTGGCATGCCCACCATCGTCAACGTCACCATCCTCAATGGCATGGGCGTGACTGGCAGGATTTTGGACAAGGTACTTTTATATAGAAGACTTTGAGTTTCATGTCAAAACATGAATGATATAAATTGATCTGACATGCTGTTTCTTTCTTGTGCTCTCCAGCCCATCTGGCAGCCTTACCTACCGCAGAATGGTGACCACATTGATGTGGCAGTCTCCTATTCGGCAGTCCTCTGGCCCTGGGCTGGATACCTGGCCGTCTCCATCTCTGTCGCCAAGAAAGCTGCATCATGGGACGGGATTGCCCAGGGTCATGTGATGGTGACCGTGGCCTCGCCTGCTGGGAATAATGTGAGTAACAACAAGGATTTGTTTCTCATAGTTACCATATCTCACCTTTCACTGTTTTTATGTGATTTCTGTAATATCACACTGACATCCTCTTATGTAGATTTGTAACCAGAGAGCATCATACAGTATTTTAAAGCTATATTTGGATACTACTGTTAGGGTTAGAGTTAGCAAGCATCCTTGCTGTGTCCTGGGTCAAAGGTCAATGTTCTGACCCTCATTGTTTTCTAATTCCTCAGTCTGAGGTGGGTGGGGAGATGACCTCTACGGTTAAACTGCCAGTCAAGGTGAAAATAGTGCCCACTCCTCCTCGTAGCAAGAGGGTTCTTTGGGACCAGTACCACAACCTGCGCTACCCGCCTGGCTACTTCCCTCGAGATAACCTGCGCATGAAGAATGACCCATTGGACTGGTGAGTTCTTTGGACAACTATTTACCTCAGAATCACTTTAGTTTTAAGAGAGAATATTAGGCTGTTTCAGGTGTACTGGCTGTGTGGGGTCAGTTTCCAGTGCAACTCTTAAAACATGCCATATCATAAGAGCAAGCAATACCTTTTTTCCCTTTACAGCCATTGTTTATTTTGTGATTTTTTGATGTTGGTTTTGTCTGAATCATTTGTAGGAATGGAGATCACATTCACACCAACTTCAGGGACATGTACCAGCACCTGAGGAGTATGGGTTATTTTGTGGAGGTCCTGGGTGCACCCATCACCTGCTTCGATGCTAGTCAATATGGTGAGAATATTTTTGCTCTCTTTGTCCATTGACTCTAATCTAAAAATGTTTTAGAGCAGGATATGGGAGAGCAGCACATAAATAAATGGCTTCTCACTCTGTCATTGCTTACAGCAACAATTCCAGTGGCTCTGCATGCATAGCAGAGCTTATTGTTTTTCTTTGTCTGGTCTCGGCTGACATTTCCTTTGTGTGTGTTTAGGGACATTCATGATGGTGGACAGTGAAGAGGAGTACTTTCCAGAGGAGATAACCAAGCTGCGGAGAGACATTGATAAGGGACTGTCTCTCATCGTCTTCAGTGACTGGTACAACACCTCTGTCATGAGGAAAGTCAAGTTCTACGATGAAAACACCAGGTAGGTATTATAACCCCACTGTGTAGCTCCTTTTATATCCCCCTCCTGATCCAAGTCCTCATTCAAACATCAATGGACAGATGGGGCATCATGCCGTGTGACAATAGGGGGAGGCGGCAGTCTTGAGGTTAGAGAAGTGGACCAGCAATCTGAGGGTTGCCGGTTGGAATCTCAGTGGGATTCGGCCACCTACTGCCGATGTTCCCTTGTGCAAGGAACTTAACCCTCTAAACTTCTCATTGGGTGCTGCCCTCTGCTCTAGCCTCTGCAACCTAATGTGTGTATGTGTGTTAGTGATGCGGGGGTTGACTCATAACCCGCAGTCCCTGCAGTTATAGTATTTCAACCACATAAAATATTCCCCTCAGGCAATGGTGGATGCCAGACACAGGGGGCGCCAACGTGCCAGCTCTGAATGACCTGATCTCTGTATGGGGGATGGCCTTCAGTGATGGGCTCTATGAGGGAGACTTCACCATGGCAGACCATGACAGTAAGAACACACTCTGACGCTCTTACACACCCTCATTCACTCGCTGTCTCACATTTTTAAATACATTGTGTGTAAATCTAGAAATTAATCAAATTAGATGGATTCAATGTGTCATGTTTAAACTCTTCTATCTCTAGTGTACTATGCATCAGGCTGCAGTATTGCAAAGTTTCCAGAGGATGGGATTGTGATTGCCAAGACCCTAAAGGATCAAGGTACAGAAAACACTCACTGCCACAACACACCTGGCAGCTGTTACCATGGGGATGTTGCTGAATATTCTCATCCCCCCCTCTCAGGGTTGGAGGTCTTGAAGCAGGAGACTGCGGTTGTGGAGGGCGTTCCCATACTGGGAATGTACCAAACACCATCTGACGGGGGAGGTCGGATAGCCCTTTACGGAGACTCAAACTGTATAGATGACAGTCACAGGCAGAAAGGTAGATAATCCACCTGCAGTTTCCCATGTTCTCTATAAAACTGTTACTGATATAAAGGTTTGAACTCCTCTTCAGTGATCAGTTAGTATCTAGTTTTGACCATTGATGTGTGTTCCCTCCATAGACTGTTTCTGGCTGCTGGATGCTCTTCTGCAGTACACCTCCTACAGCATGACTCCTCCCAGCCTCATCCACTCCAACAGCAGGGTGACTCCTCCCACTGGCACTGACCGTCCCTTGCCAGAGAGACTGGAGGGTAAGACTAACACTAAAGCCTCAGTGCTTCAGCTTTAAAACTAAATTTCTATGATGGCTAAGTACCTTTATTCCTCTCTTCCACAGGTAATCACCTATATCGATACTCAAAGGTATTAGAAGCTCACTTGGGAGACCCAAAGCCCCGCCCACTCCCTGCCTGCCCTCACCTGTCATGGTCCAAGCCACAGCCACTCAACGAGACGGCACCCAGGTGTGTGCCAAATCACCTGTCAAAGTCCCTAACCCCTGTAGTATTCATTTCCGTCTCCTGACTTTCCTCTCATTCTCTATCAAACAGATGGGGAGATTATGTTGAATAATACCACTCTTTCTTAACTGGTAATTTCCTCAATAATGTTTAATAATGTATTTGTGCTCTACCTGGTTCTATTTGTTAATAGTAACCTATGGAAGCACCAGAAGCTGCTATCTATTGACATGGACAAAGTGGTGCTGCCTAACGTCAGAAACTATAGACCCCAGGTCCGGCCTCTGTCCCCTGGGGAGAGTGGAGCCTGGGACATCCCTGGAGGTGAGAATATATACCAAGCAGAATTATCACTGACTCCAAATCACCTTACTGACTCAGTTTGTTTAAAGGGGCAGTGCAGTTAAAAAGGTGATTTTCTCATTTTTTAAATGCTATTTCCACACTGAGGTTGAAATAATACTCTGAAATTGTGAATATGATTGTCCTTTTTTTGTAAGAGCTGTTTGAAGAAAATGCCTGGAATTTTTTTTGGGTCATTTAGCAGACGCTCTTATCCAGAGCGACTTACAGTTAGTGCATACATTTTTTAAAATATATATTTTTTCATACTGGCCCCCCGTGGGAAACGAACCCACCACCCTGGCGTTGCAAGTGCCATGCTCTACCAACTGAGCTACACAGCCTGTTCAGGTGGGATGGAGTTTTTAGTCCAGATCATGACATCACAATCGGATCTGATTATTCTGACCTGATTATTCTGACCAATGACCAGTTGTCTTTTATTTGCATATGTATCCTCCTACTTTGAAGGGATAATAGGGGTAGGCAGTCTACCAGTGGTTCCCAACCTTTTTTGGTTACATTTTACATTTTAGTCATTTAGCAGACGCTCTTATCCAGAGCAACTTACAGATAGTGAGTGCATACATTTTTTTTTTTTTCATACTGGTCCCCCGTGGGAAACGAAACCACAACCCTGGCGTTGCAAACGGCATGCTCTACCAACTGAGCTACACATTACTGTACCACCAACTGAATTTTGCTCTGCCCCGAGTACCCCTGAAGTACCCAATCATGTGCATTTTACCAGTAGGCCTATGGTCTCATGAGTCTTCTCAAGTACCCACTGCAGATAGGCCAAGTAACCCCAGGGGTCCTAGTACCTCTGGTTGGGAACAACTGAGACAATCCTATCCACCAATCAGGGCTGTGTATGTAAATATATTTAAATATAAAAACTAGGCTCAGGGAAATAAATGATAACAAATATATTTGCAGTTATTGTCATGAAATAAACACAGTAATTTATTAGACATACAGTGATTAAAATGTTTTAATTAAAAAGACTGCACGGGGGCTAAAATGCACACATAAACAGTTAAAATATCTGAGGTCTGTTTCTTCAGTCTTGTCACTGTTAATCATTTTTGACAATCATCATGTACTGCGTGATGACGCCTCTGTGTGACTGACACGCCTGTCCTCTCCCCAGGTATAATGCCAGGCCGCTACAACCAGGAAGTGGGCCAGACCATCCCCATGTTTGCCTTCCTGGGAGCCATGGTTGTGCTGTCCTTCTTTGTGGTGCAGCTCACCAAATCCAAGAACAAGCCCAAACGACGGAAACCCAGAGTCAAACGTCCAACGTACCTCCAGCAGCAACAGCAGCAACAACTGGCACCAACAGGCAAGAACCCTACAGTGTGAGGCTGCCTTCCCAACCACCACAGACTATTGGGTCACAGCACACAAGGCCCAGAACTCTGGAAGACTAGCCTCCCCTGAGGTGTTTACTGCATGTGTGCTTCTGCCTTTGAGTTGGGGTTGTTAGATGGCTGATTAATGAGCAGTGTTTGTCTGACTTTGAAATATGCAGCCCACAAAACAGACAAGGATGTTTCCCACAGGACCTCGCCTCTTTAGCCTCCACTCTTCAAAAGAGCTTTTCATTCCACCGACCAAATGGAGTTTGAATGAAACGTGTCTGTCCACTTTTTGTATTTATTGAATCTGTGCGTCATCCCCTGATTGGTTTCATCTTCCGCAAGGTCTTTTAAAGTCAGATTAGATGAACTGTACTGAAAACAAATTCTGATGTTTTGAGATCCTTATTTGGAACTTGCTTTTTTCTCTTTATGTTCAGGTGATTATGGGTTTCTTAATTTGTTCATTCTTTGTTTTAATATTTTATATAATGAGCTCTGGTGAGGCATTCTGTTAAAATCCATCATCAACTGTCATTGGCAAACTTTTTCAAATATAGGCAGTCATTGTAAATAAGAATTTGTTCTTAACTGACTTGCCTAGTTTAATAAAGGTTAAATAAAAAAATAAAACAAAGCCGTAAGCCTTGGGTCCCTTGTTTAGTACTGCAATGTGTGCCATTCAAAAAATACACAGATTTCTCCATACTCTTCTAATGTAATTAATCTGTTAAGAAAGTATGTTGCGGAAAGCCACGACATGCAAGACCATATCTCTACATTTAGCAGACATTGTCAGGCCTTCGAAAGTGTTCTAATGTCGAGATGATCCACGCCATATGTCTATCTACTGCCTCCACCCCAAATTAATGGGAAAGATAGACGCCATCTAATTTCATATTTTCAGATGCTGCCTATCTTTCCCATTCATTTGGGATTGAGCCATGTAGCAGGGTGACTAGATCTACTGCAGCATACAACAGATGGCTATGGGCAGGGACTTAGCTTCACACTTGAGACCTAAAAATGTCAAACTTTTTGGAGTAAACTATCACATATGTGGCAACTGAAGATTTATTTGGGATGCCGTTGTTGATGAAAATGTTATACAGCTAAAACACAGGATTAAAGGCCTTGTCATGATCTAGCAGCACGAGTGAGTGGTGTACAAACTCACCTGATAAAATAGCTGTCTTCTAAAGTGGGAATATTCTTGATCATATCAGATATTATACTTTAAAGTAAGTCATGGTCAAACACTTTTCTAAGGATAACTCATGTGAGTTGGGGGTTGAAACTCTGTCCCACACAGTGTCAGTGTTAGATAGGAAAAGGGTGAATTCACCCATTCCGACTTTCTACAGAGCTGCATTTTGATGAAAGTGTTTCTCATATCAGAATAGCAGTGTATGATCTTAGTATGAATTACATTTTATTTTGTGACAAATTGGCAACCATCCCTTTATGAGATTAATTGACACAAACACACATTACAATAATTCACTGTGTTAATTCAGTGATAATTCTTCTTCCAGTGTATTCTGCAGTACACATCGCATAAAGAGTGAAACAATTAAAGGTAAAAATCAATACATAATAGTAAATAAGGTTATCCAAACAATAATTATATCCCTAGAGCAGTAAAATAATATATATACAAACATGCATACATACACACTGTATATACATACATACACACTGTATATACATACATACACACTGTATATACATACATACACACTGTATATACATACATACATACATACATACTGTATATACATACATACACACTGTATATACATACATACACACTGTATATACATACATACATACTGTATATACATACATACATACACACAGATTAATGAAACAGAAGGCATTTGAACCCAGTCTGGCACAAAGAGAAGATTCACGTGGGAGACAAGCCTGTACACAATCTATAAACACACGTACCATTTACCACATAGAAGCTAAATATCTTTATAATTGAATTATAGGTAGCACTTTTTTTTTATTCCAGGCTGTATTTAAATGTTCCGTAAACGGAAATACACAATGGACAAAAAAGCAAGCATATATCGTGGTAGAAAGGGCAGTAGAGGATAAAATGAGTTTCATTCTCTATTTCTTCGAGGTCACAATAGTTACATAGCCTTTCCTCTTCCATTTCACCACAATACCGACCTGTTTACGCAGAGGCAATATCCCTGAGTGCACATAGCAATCTATTGCTTTTAGGTAGGTTATACATAATATATCTCACACACGAGATATGGGCCCTTAATCAAACAAAAGGTTCTCAATTTGGGTTTATGATTAATCTCCTCCACCCATTTTTTTTTCATACTGCATCAGCAGTTTAAAAAAATAAATATCTATGTCTCCCTTCATTTGGTTTTCGTACAGATGTTCACAGTTAGATGGTTGAAAAGGTCAGACGGCTCGTAATAATGACTGGAATGGAGCGAATGGAATGGCATCAAACTGTGTTTCCTGTATTTGATACCATTCCACTGATTCCGCTCCAGCCATTACCACAAGCCCGTCCTCCCCAATTAAGGTGCCACCAACCTCCTGTGATCTGAATGTAGGCATACATTTAAGATATACAATATACCACACCCCTATTCCATGAATTAAACTTTGACCTACCAGCACCATCAGCCAATTACCCCAAAGCGACTTTACCCTGTCTCTACGCTCAATTTACCACATACCCGGGATAAGTTGTGCCTAGAGACCTCTTTTTTGGGGGGGACAAGCTATGTTTTCAAAACTGTTATTAATTCTGATTATTCCCAGTGATACACAACATCCTGAAATATACACTGTCTTTGTTAGAAAGTATCCTATATTTCCCTTGACGTAGTGATGATAAATGTAAAACATCGCTCAACTTACCCCACTCTCCCCTATCTGTAGTGCTCAAGAACAGGACTGACATTCCATGAGAGCAACACTACTTTTTAAACCATGATTTGAAGCTATACAGTTAAACAAAATCATAATCTTTATAAGTCATTCTTCAAAATCAAGGGGCATATACTTTACTGGACAAATTACTGGGCATATTAGACTGGCTGTAAGATAATCACAACTTTACAACATTTGGTTATAGTTTTGAGTTTGAAAATCATCTAGGGCTACTTTTTGCTGCCTTGATTCACTTGAGGCCACCAGTGCAGGTCTCCAAACATACAATTTCGAAGTTGCTCCAAACGTCAAATTTCAGTGTTTTTTGACACCCTGGTTTGACTCGGTATCGTTCCGGTTCTTCCAAAAGTCAAATTTAGAAAGTTAAGGGTTAAGGTTTGGAAAGGGTTAAAACATTAAGTTTAGGCACTCATTCCAAATGGTTAAGGTAAAGATTACGGTTTGGGATAGGGTTAAAAAATTTTTTTTTTAAACAAGTGTCCACCACTGGGATCGAACATGCAACCTTCTGGGATTACGTACATCCGCCACCCCCGCCCACAACGCCCTAGCAAAACCCAAGCCTACTTGATGGTAATAGTGCTCACTGTTGCTCCTAGTGGCCGGTTTTGAAACCATTTCCCAACGTCCAATTTCGAAGTCACTCTTGAGCGATCTGCCTGACTCAGAGATATCACCTATCTGAATGAAGTAATGAATATTGAGCATTGACAGTTTGTACATGTGTTAATTCATAAAGGGTGGTCTCTTTTGAAATTGGAAACAAGTGGAGCATGGTTATCATTGGTTTGAAAACTTGGGAGACACCTCCACTATCAACCCTCCCTGCTCCAGCCTACTTTCCAGTTCATGTTGAGCATATTCATGTGAATTCCGCATGGCACAAGTTGCAGAGGTTTTTCGAAGAGTTTGGAGCAAGTCTGACCAAGCATGGAAGAGAGAAAGCATCAGCTTACTGGCCAAGCCCATGCTCGATACGGGCGGCCCAAGACTTGGATCTATGGGAGCAGTTTTCATCATGCTCAAATCTGGGCTTGGTGCGGGACTTCTCAATTTCCCTTGGGCTTTCGAGAAAGCCGGGGGAATTCGCACTGCAGTCGCCGTGGAAATGGTTAGTGACTTTATTAACCCTAACCCCAACCTGGTCTCAGAGCATTTCGTATTATTCTGTACGTAAATCCGAGACACTCAGCTAACCCTTCCCCTTTAACCTAACTCCTAAACTTAACCCTACTTTTAACCCTAACCCCTAGCCTAGCTAACGTTAACAAGCTAGTTGACATTAGCCACCTAGCTAGAATTCGTAACATATCATGTGTTTTGCAAATTCGTAACATATTGTACGTTTAGATAATTAGTAACATATTGTACATTTTGCAAATTTGTAACATATAATACTAATTGTAATTAGTAACATATCATACACAATGGGTGATGGACATCTACAAATTAATACATACCATATAAAACGTAGCATATCATACTAAATGGAGTGTCTCAGATGTACCTACATAATAATACTAAATGCTCTGAGACCAGGTTGCTGACCCTGGTAGACAAAACATGTATAGCCTATATTCCTATAAATAAATCAAACTCAATTACAACCATCGCTAACCATCTCCTCCTATTTTTAAACTTAATTCAAACCAATTTAAACAATCCAATCGACTCCATCTACTAAATCCCATTGATTTACTAGACATGCAATTTACAGTTTTTCTCGATTGCTAAGACACATTTCTTGAAAGCTGCGCTCCTTTTCTCTTAACTGTGAACACAAAACCCAATTTTCAAGCTACATTCACAAAACCTCAGACTCTTCTTGCAAAACCAAACTTTCACCTCAAAACAGTTCAATCTGTGCTCAAAACTGAACTATGTCGTCAAATCGTGCCCTGAGTCAATCAAAATTAAAAACACTACTGAACAGTCACTAAACACTACGTAGAAAAATAGAAAACACAATGCTCAGGACATGAAGCTGGAGAAATAAATGTTTATTGTTCACTGTAGGCTAAATGCATGTTGCAAAACAAAAAAAAACTGTGCATTTAGCACTTGTACAAAAAGACAAAACAGAAATCTTGTGCATTTACATGTAGCACTTGTAAAAACAAACAGAAATCTTATGCGTTTGCCACTTGTGTACAGTAAGCCCATGTAAAAATAAAGTACAAAAATATACAAATAAGTGCATTACTCAGCCACAGCATCATGTCTCCGTACTGGGTCAGGCCACAGGACTTCATCCACATCACAGGCCACATTTTGTCTGGCCAGGCAACGGGGGAAAAAAACCCCTGGCATGCCGTATCCAGGCTTGGCATGCCTCCACACCTATGTCACCACAGGCAAGTCCCATGGCTTGCAGGAGATTTACCCTGGTGTAAGGTTGGCGTTCATATACCTTCCACCGCCATGAGGAGAATAATTCCTCAATGGGGTTTAGGAAAGGGGAGTACGGTGGAAGGCAAAGATTGATAAAACCTTGGTTCATATTGTACCACTCTCTAACCTGGAGGGCTCTGTGAAAACTCACATTGTCCCAAACAACAACATAGATGGGATGCTCATCCTGCTGCCCTAACAAAGCATCTCGCATGTGATTGAGGAAAATGAGGAGCTGGTGAGTGTTGTAGGGCCCCAGGTTGGCATGATGGTGGACAACCCCATGATTGCTGATGGCAGCACATAATGTGACATTGCCACCACGCTGCCCAGGAACACCAACAATGGCCCGATGGCCAATCACATTACGGCCTCTCCTTCTCCTTTTGGTGAGATTAAACCCAGCTTCATCCATGTATATGTATTGATGGGGTCTTTCCATTGCATCCAGTTGAAAAACCCTCTGTAGAAATAGATATAGTTTTGTAAGTGATACGGAAAAAGTGATTTAGGCCACTACAGTAAATCACTACTTAGAGTAATCAACATTGAATGTGTCTGGATATATGCCAACCTGTACATACTGGAATCTTTGCTCTTTGACTCTGTCTGAGTTGCGATCAAAGGGCACTCTGTATAGCTGTTTCATGCGCAGTCTGTTGCGCTTGAGGACACGATCAACAGTAGAGAGGCTGACACTGTTGATACCCTCAAAATTTAAATGGTCCTCAATGATCTTCTGCTGAATTTCGCTCAGTTTAATGGCATTGTTCTCACGGACCATATCAACAATTAGGGTCTCTTGGTGTGGGGAGAACATACCTGTCCTCCCACCCCCATGTGGCAGTCTTTCAATTCTACAAAAAGAGAACATGGAGTTACAAAAAATATACATGGAATACTAGGCCTACAAACAGTTAGACCAACCCTCCATTACAATACTACAGTACATAGGTACAGTGATGTACTGAAACATATATTTACTTACAGTATACTGTGGTACAGTATATAGTATGTCATGAAGTAATTGCTGTCAACATTTACATACTGTACTATAATGTCAAAAAAAGGTAATTACCTGTTCTCTTCTCTAAATATTCGGATTATGGTGGACACAGTGAATCTACTGATGTTTGGTTGTACCCTTTGTCCAGCCTCCCTCATGCTCATACCATGGACAAGAACATGGTCAATCACAGTAGCTCTGATTTCATCAGATATTACTGTTCTTTGTCTTCGCTGACCACCTCGACCACCTCGACCTCCTCTCACACGAACTCTTCCTCTCAGATTTCTATCCATTGTAGGGCCTCACAAACCAGTGCTCTCTGAACTGGCTTACTGTATATGTTCCCTCACATCATTAGCCACAAGTGTGATCAATTTTGAGTTGTTGTGTTCAAGTGGTGACACCTGTGCTCTAATTGTGTTTGACTTTTGTCACCTGTGCTCACCATTATGCAGCACGGGTGCATCACAATGAAAATGTGTTAGCAAGTTATGTCTAAACAGGTGAAAAGTGCTTATGGTTTTGCCAAAAGAGTGATTGATTCAATCAGTGGGTTCAGGCAACTGAGCATTTGGTTCAGACAATAGGGTTTAGTGTTTTAGCAATTGAGAAAAACTGTAATGTGCAGGTGAACCTTCTGGAATTGGTGGTGGTGAGAGGTCAAATGGCCAGCAAATGGCTGGTAGAAAGATATCCTTGATTATGAGTACATATTCTTTATCTGACATTGCCTCAAAGGTCAGACCAGGTACTTTAGAAAAAGCCTTTCCAGAGCCTCTCTGAAGTTTTGTTGTTGGCTATCTGTAGAATAAGCTCTTTGGCTGCGATGTTCAGCGCTATCCCGACCATCTGCTTTGGCTTTCAGGTGAATCGGCTTCACTCATGTCTGGTTTTCAAAGTGGTTACTAATGATGTTAGATTATTTTCTTTATGAAGCCAATGGTCTGGCATTTACCCAAAATTCTGGTCAATTGAGGAGCTGTCTGAAAAGCCCATCACAGTCCAACTGAGCCTCAGGCTATCCTGCACTTTAAAATGGCCAAGGAGAGCTGGTTCTCTGTTCAATATTTGAACTTGGGAAAGATTGGAGGAAAAATAACACTTATTTTCAGAGGTTGTTTTTTGTAATGGGAACACAGGAGGATGATCAGAAATGCAATAAAAGGGCAGTGGGAGAGAGGCCTAGCGTTGTACGAACGAACCACCCTGATCTCTCAAGCTTACATTCTGTTTTGCTATCCATGTAGCGAAACAGACTGTAAGCTTGCGAGATCACGATGGTTCATACGAGGCTAAGAGAGGCCCACAAAGCCCAGCTAGCTGAGCCCCAGCACCCCCAGGCTGATTGATTACTTAGTTGGAGAAGAAAGAGGAATGATGGAGATCCTGAAGGAAGGTGCGATGGAGGAATGTTGGAGGAATATATTGAGGAAACCTGGGAGAACTTTGCTTTTGTAATGTATACTGTTGAATTGGAAGCTTGTCTCAACTCATGACAAAGGCTCTGACGTTCTATGACTTGGAGCATTAAGCGCTGTGGAGCCCCATACTATTGATAGCTTCTCTGGCTCTTACATTGAGACTAACTGGACACCAGAATGTTTCAAAGGATGTATCCATGTTTATCTGTGATTTGCATTCTGAGCCTGCCATGTTCTGTTCTGTATCATTCTGTGCTCCAGTGTCACAAGGCCTGTATAACCATCTACAGCAGCATGCAGAACAAAAGCCTGTCCCACTGGGTGTTCATCTCTGTGGTGACCATATTCTTCTGCCTTATCATTTACTCCCTAACTGGTGAGACTCATCCTTTCAATACTCCATCTGATAGCACCAAGTGATTGTAGTGAACACAGTGACTATACTACTGTACACTCTTAGAAAAAAGGGTACCAAAAAGGTACTTTGGCTGTCCCCATAGTAGAACCCCCTGTGGAAAGGTTTCTACCTGGAACCAAAAGGGTTCTACCTGGAACCAAAAAGGGTTCTTTAAAGGGTTTTCCTATAGATCGTCGTGGCCGTGCCTGCCTGTGGGGAAAACAACCTGTGGTTACCTACAGTTGAAGTCGGAAGTTTACATACACTTAGGTTGGAGTCATTAAAACTCGTTTTTCAACCACTCCACAAATTTCATTTTAACAAACTATAGTTTTGGCAAGTCGGTTAAGACATCTACTTTGTGCATGACACAAGATATTTTTCCAACAATTGACAGATTGTTATAATTCGCTGTATCACAATTCCAGTAGGTCAGAAGTTTACATACACTAAGTTGACTGTGCCTCTAAACAGCTTGGAAAATTCCAGAAAATGTTGTCATGGCTTTAGAAGCTTCTGATAGGCTAATTGACATCATTTGAGGCAATTGGAGGTGTACCTGTGGATGTATTTCAAGGCCTACCTTCAAACTCAGTGCCTCTTTGCTTGACATCATGGGAAAATCAAAAGAAATCAACCAAGACCTCAGAAAAATAATTGTAGACCTCCACAAGTCTGGTTCATCCTTGGGAGCAATTTCCAAATGCCTGAAAGTACCACGTTCATCTGTACAAACAATGGTACGCAAGTATAAACACCATGGGACCACGCAGCCATCATACCGCTCAGGAAGGAGACGCGTTCTGTCTCCTAGAGATGAACGTACTTTGTGCAAATCAATCCCAGAACAACAGCAAAGGACCTTGTGTAGATGCTGGAGGAAACAGGTACAAAAGTATCTATATCCACAGTAAAACGAGTCCTATATCAACATAACCTGAAAGGCCGCTCAGCAAGGAAGAAGCCACTGCTCCAAAACCGCCTTAAAAAAGCCAGACTACGGTTTGCAACTGCACATGGGGACAAAGATCGTACTTTTTGGAGAAATGTCCTCTAGTCTGATGAAACAAAAATGTCCAAATGGACAATGACCCCAAGCATACTTCCAAAGTTGTGGCAAAATGGCTTAAGGGCAACAAAGTCAATGTATTGGAGTGGCCATCACAAAGCCCTGACCTCAATCCTATAGAACATTTGTGGGCAGAACTGAAAAAGCGTGTGCGAGCAAGGAGGCCTACAAACCTGACTCAGTTACACCAGCTCTGTCAGGAGGAATGGGCGAAAAATTCACCCAACTTATTGTGGGAAGCATATGGAAGGCTACCCGAAACGTTTGACCCAAGTTAAACAATTTAAAGGCAATGCTACCAAATACTAATTGAGTGTATGTAAACTTCTGACCCACTGGGAATGTGATGAAATAAATAAAAGCGTAGGAAAACCTGCAAAATCGGCAGTGTATCAAATACTTGTTCTCCCCACTGTAGTTAGATGTGTTAAGTGAATTCCATCTGTTCTCTACAGTTGAGAAATAAGTACTTGATTTGAATTCTACTTGAGTAAAGTATAGCAGCTTTTCCAGCATGTTTTTTATTTTTGTATAAAATAAATTCAACATCAAAGTTGGCTCTTTTACACAGGGGGTCAATGGGAAATAATCTTTGTTTTCCCCAATTTGTGTGCGTGGTCGAGGAGAATTCCTTATTATTACGTGAACCCTTTTAGGTTCTAGAAAGCACTTTTTTTGTCTAAAAGTGTATGCAAAGTTGGTGTCTGAATGTATTTCCCCTCCCTTTCTGGTTCAGGTGTTTATGGATACCTGACATTTGGCAAGGATGTTGCAGCAGATATTCTGATGTCATACACAGGGGACGATGTCCTCATGATCATTGCAAGACTGCTCTTTGGGATCTCTATCATCACCATCTACCCCATCATCCTCCTGCTTGGAAGGTAACATCATGGCATCATGGCTGGAGAGCATTGAATAATTGGCATTCAATAGACATAGCATTCATTAGCCATTCAATCAGAGCATATGAGCCGAAATAAATAACTTGTTAGTAAATTTGCCTGTTTGGCCCAGTGAGTCTCATTGCACAGTTTCTCTGACTTCCTGCACACAGGTCAGTGATTCAGGACCCACTGCTGAGTTTCCGTTGGTGCTTCCACGTGGTGACGGAGTCGTATGAGAACCGTAGCCACGTGGGGCTGACTAGAGCCTGGATCACCGTCACCCTCATTGCCATGTTCATCCCAGACATCAGCAAGGTTATCAGTGTCATCGGGGGAATAAGTGCATTTTCCATCTTCATTTTCCCAGGTGGGCATATTCTCCCTCTTTCACACCACTCTCTCCCACATGGTTGCATGTCTATGCTTGCTTGCTCTGCATGACTACACTGTGTGCACAATTATTAGGCAAGTTGTATGTTTGAGGATTAATTTTATTATTGAACAACTACAGTGCTCTCGGTCAATCCAAAATGTTAATAAACCTCAAACCTGAATATTTAAGAAAGTAAAAGTGAGGTTTTGGCTTTCTTTGGAGAATATCTATGTGTGCACAATTATTGGGCAACTATTAGTGTGCAGAATTATTATGCAACTAAATGAAAAACTAAACTTTTTATTTTCATCTGTTAAAGTGAGAATAATAAACAAACAAACAACTCAACATTTACAAATAAACATTTGACATAAAATAAAATAAATCAGTGACCAACATAGCCACCCTTCTTTTCAATAACAGTCATAAGCCTTCCATCCATGGAGTCTGTCAGTTTCTTGATCTGTTGACGATCAACTTTTTGTGCAGCAGCAACCACAGCCTCCCAGATACTGGTCAGAGAGGTGTACTGTTTTCCTTCACCGTAAATCGGCCGTTTAAGAAGGGAACACAAGTTCTCAATAGGGTTTAGGTCAGGTGAGGAAGGGGGCCAAGTCATTATTCTTTCATCTTTATGGCCTTTACTGGCTAGCCATGCAGTGGAGTACTTCGATGCATTCGATGGAGCATTGTCCTGCATTGAAAGATGCAGACTTTTTCCTGTACCACTGCTTGAAGAAAGTGTCTTCTAAAAACTGGCAGTAGGTTTGGGAGTTGAGTTTGAGTCCATCTTCAACCTGGAAAGGTCCAACTAGCTCATCTTTAATAATACCGGCCAATCCCAGTACCCCACCTCCACCTTGCTGGCGTCTGAGTCGAAGTGGAGCTCCGTGCCTGTTACTGATCCAGTCACGGGCCCATCCATCTGGTCCTCCAAGAGTCACTCTCATCTCATCAGTCCATAAAACCTTTGAAAAATCTGTCTTCAGATATTTCTTGACCCAGTCTTTATGTTTCAACTTATGTGTTTTTGTCATTTAGCAGACGCTCTTATCCAGAGCGACTTACAGTTAGTGAGTGCATACATTTATTTTAATTTTTTTATAGGTTGCAGTTCTGGAATATGACAGCACTGGAGGATAATGGGTTCCTGGTAGCTTCACGCTAATTTGCATCTTTTTTTCTCAACACGGTTCTTGCGACCCTGTTGACTATTTGCAACAAAATGTTTGATGGTTCTGTGATCACGTCCCAATATCTTAGCAATTTCAAGAGTGCTGCATCCCTCTGAAATACTTTTTACAATTTTTGACTTTTCAGAGTCAGTTAAATCTATTTTTTGGCCCATTTTGCCTGAGGAAAAGAAGCTGCCTAATAATTATACACCCATTGATATAGGGTGTTGATCTCCTTAGGCCACACCCTCCCTCATGACACAAATACACATCACCTGATATGCTTAAATCCAATAAGCATTCCAGTTTATACAGCTTGGAGTTGGGAAATATGCATAATAATGATGATATGGTCAAAATACTGACTTGCCTAATAATTGTGCACACAGTGTATGTCTAGTATTTGCCATGCAGTCAGAGACAGTATCTTTAAAAACAAGGTCAGTTTAAACCAATCATGGTCACTCATTCAAACCCTTAAAAAATTATAATCAATTTCTCTCCTTTATTTTCTCACTAAACCCTGCCCCATTCCCTCTCAGAGTGGTCCTAACAACATGGGGGATTATCACTCTGATCTGTGGAGCTTTCATTTTTGGACAGAGCACCACAATTGCCATCATGCAGCTCCTCACTAAGATCTAACCCTTATCATCATCACCCTTATTTATCATGGACATCTTGTTAAATGCCTGATGGCTTTGAACTTCACCAATAAGGAACTTTTAATCCTCATCACCTTTGGTAACACAAAGCTCTTGTTGGAGCCCTTTATTCTGAGGGTTGGGTGTTAAATCCTCTGAACTCTGTTACATTTAACCTTTTCCCCCACTTACTCTCCCGGTGTCTAGACTAGCTGGTATGTCTTCATTGTGTGAGATCTGTTGGCTGGGTAGGACATGGGGAGAGTTTTGTAGTCTTCTTCTTACTTTTAGTTTGTTATTTCATTTGCACAATGTGTTCTGCTCACTGTCCAATACACTGAAATAAATATGAATGAAAGGTTTACATAATGAAAAAAAAAAAGTTTGTGAACATGTCATAGGGGGGTGGGGGAGAAAGCGAGTTATTTTCACTTTTTGTACATTTACATTTTAGTCATTTAGCAGACACTCTTATCCAGAGCGACTTCAAATCAAATTGTATTAGTCGCATGCTTCGTAAACAACCCGTGTAGACGAAATGCTTACGGCCCTTCCCAACAATGCAGCGAGAAAGAAAATAGAGAACTAATAGAAAAGTAAAACACGTAATAATAAATACACAGAGTAATGATAACTTGGCACAGGGTACCAGTACCAAGTCGATGTGCAGGGGTACGAGGTAATTGAGGTAGAATAGGAAGAAAGTCACAGATAATAAACAGTAGCAGCAGCGGATGAGATTAGTCAAGAAAGGTCAATGCAGATAGCTATTTCGTTAACTATTTAGCAGTCTTATGGCTTGGGGGTAGATGCTTTTCAGGGTCCTGTTGGTTGTAGACTTGGAGTAATTAGGGTTAAGTGCCTTGCTCAAAGGCACATCAAAAGATTTGTTTTTACCTAGTCGACTCTGGGATTCGTACCAGCGACCTTTCGGTTACTGGCCCATCGCTCTTAAGTGCCAGGCTACCTTCCGCCCTAACTGTTTGTCTTGTGTATGGAGATGTTTGGATTGATATTTTGAATGAACAAATTGTGTATTCTCGTGTAGATTGCTAACTCAAGTTACAATTCTGCCTTCTGTGTATCGATATTTATCATTGTATTGACGTTTGTCAGAAGTAAAATAATGTTTTATAGAAAATATGCACTGGCATTTGTTTCGTTAGTCTTCATACTACATGTCGCCTGCATGCTTTCCCAGAAATGTAAAGCAATCAAGCAACAGATTCATGATTTATTTCAGTATTACCATTTTATTGATTTGCATCACTCTACATTATCTAGAATTTCAACAACGTTAAGACTAAATATAGTACTTGCATCCCTGCTATAAGTCTCTACACTCAAAGAGAGAAAGCCATTTTACTGAAACATACATAAGTATAAGAATTTGTATTTCATTAAACATTGCCATAAAAGTGAATGTTCATTCTGTATGCCATTTTCTATTCATATATATTTTTGTTTTGTCTGTCCTTTATAGGAATACTATAAAATAAAAATAAGAAATGCACAAAACCCATTGAAAGTAGCATGGCTAAATACTACAGCAAATAAGTTACTGGACATTCATTTTAACATGCACTCAAGTGAGGGATAGGGAGAAAGAAAATTGGTTGCACAGTTTAGGGAACAGCCAGGAATGTTATAGAAATAGTATTGGCATTTTTTTTGGCTGGCTGGCTTTGACCTGTTGATACAGAACCCAACAGAAGCTACGGATAAAATAGAAAACCTTTCCAGTAGAATTTACCCACATACTTTACCCACATACTTTACCCACATACGTCTGTCAACAAGGGAGTCATGCTCTTGCTCCATTCTGTAAGACTGATGCTGAGGCTAATATAAAGCCCAAGGCGTGCTATTTATTATTGATTAATATCACAGGTGCATTAACACTGAGAAGTCCAGGGTTCTCTCAAGGTAAAGTGTAATGTGGCCTAGCACCAGAGATTGAACTGGACATGAGTTCATTCCATTTCAGTGGTGGTCCTAGTTATGATCAAAGGCAAGTAAACAAACCATTTTATTTATTTTACAGTGCACAAGGACAGTATTTGTTATTACTTACATGATATTATCTGAGAATCTTATCCTGGGGGAGGGAGGGTTTGATATTTCCCCATTGGTTAAGGACAGGCTTGCCACCACCTTCATGTGCTTACAGGACAAACTAAGAAATTCAATGGCGGTGTAGGTGAAATATTCCACCCTCTAAAGGTTTATCAAGATGAGTGATTCATACATTATTCTTTACAGATAACTTTCATATTTGGATCATTTCTAATACTCTCATACTTTAAATATCTTTAATCGCTATATTCCATTAATGTACATTGTGCTTTTTGACTGGGTCTCTGTTTGATCATGTTGATTTCAGGTGGGTGAAGTTGGGGTTGGACAAAGTCGTCATGGTCCTAGATGTGCACAAGAGGTTCCTCTCTAACTGGGTTGGTGGGTGAACATTTTGATATATTTTCTGTTACTATCATTTGCTTGATAGGTGTGTAAACATCTTATTTTTGCTCAATTGCAATGAACATTGTGATTGTAATATGGGGCTGTACGTTAGATGTTTAAAATCTAATTAGTGTTTGTTTATGGGAAATCCTACCTAGGTACCCACCACTTACAACCTCAACCATATGCTGATGTTTAAGGCTTGAGGTTGTGTTGCTCAAAAAGGGAACTGTCTGCAACAAACAAAGTTTTGCATGTTTTGTTGTAACCGCTTCTTCTTCTGAATTTTGCACTGTATCACTAAAGACGTCAATACAAATATAATTATAATATAACATTTTTTCATATCATTTTACTAGACTTTTAACAGCTAATATATCCAGTGCTGATTCATACATGTACTCTTAACACAATGGGAAAAAACAACCTTAACTGCTTGATAGAGACGAATGTTGAGCGCTCTATTACTCTGCCATTAGCAGTAGCAGGTTCATGTCTTTAGTCAAAATGGATGACATGCACGAGAGCCTCAAAAGCAGGTTAACTGTTCACCTCATTTCTACCATGACTTGAGGGTGAACGATACGATGAAGAAATGCATTGGATGGAGGTAATCTCGATTTAATGCACTGTTCAATATTCACTGCAATTGACGCCTTTCATTTTGTCTCAATATCAAACAGACACTGTGTAAACATGTACTTACAAAAGAGAGAAAGAGAGGGGTTGTGAGAGAGGGAGGTAAAGGGGGAGCTAAGGATGGGGGGTGTTGCAGACTCAGGCAATGTGGCCCCACCCCCATCAGTCTCTGCTCAGGCTGCACCAGGTGGCTGCAGGGAGAGAGGGGGAGTTCAGTTTAGACACAAGCAGCTCAGGAATACAGAAAAATAAGTATATTATTAACACACTCACTCATTGACACTCACACCTACTGTTTCTCTGCTCAAATGTGATAATACAGTGATGATACACTGCATAATATAATTCAAATTGAATGTCATAAATTTTCAGGTTTGTCTGGGGTAAGTCTATGACATAAGGCTTTATGCATTCATACCAATAACAATAAGTCCACAACAATAAATATCAGGGTATGTGCTTTCCCTGACTGTTCCTGCTCTACATTGAACAGATCTCTCCCCGGTAGGTTCCCCTGCAATCGGGGCTCCCCATCCATCCCAGACACATGGCACTATGCCAGCATCCCTCTCCAACCTGGACTCAGAGCATTTCGTATTATTCTTACGTATATTCGAGACACTCCATTTAGTACAGTATGTTACGTTTCGTATGGTCTGTATTAATTTGTGGATGTCCATTACCCATTTCATATGATATGTTACGAATTACAATTCATATGATATGTTACGAATTTGCAAAATGCACAATATGTTACAAATACTAGCTAGGTGGCTAACGTTAGCTAGCTCGCTAACGTTAGCTGGGTTAGGGTTAGGGTTAAGGTTAGGGTTAAGTTTAGGAGTTAGGTTAAAGGGTTAGGGTTAGGGGAAGGGGAAGGGTTAGCTAAAAGGGTTAGCTAAAAGAGTTAAGGTTAGGGTTAGGGGAAGGGTTAGCTAACATGCTAAGTAGTTGAAAAGTTGCTAATTAGCTAAAATGCTAAAGTTGTCTGTGATGAGATTTGAACTCGCAACTTTTGGGTTGCTAGACGTTTGCATTATACGCCTACCCATCCACCTCGACCAACCAACCTCCTTTTGTTTTTGCCTTATGTAACCATCTGTCTTATATGACCATACCAAATGTAACCTATCACACTAAATGGAGTGTCTCGGAGTTACGTACAGAACAATACGAAATGCTCTGAGACCAGGTTGCCTTCTCAGGAGACTAACCTGGCACAGCAACAGTGGACACAGCCTCAGGCTGGCACAGAGTGTCCACTTTAACATGTTGAAAGGCCTTGGAGGACGCAGTCTGGAGGTGCCTAAGGACAGAGGTGGAGGGCATAAGATCACACAAAAACAGACGCGGACACATGCGCGCTCACTCACTTCTTCAGTATGCCCCATAGATTATATTTTTGATTGTGAGCAGTAAAATATTAATGAGAATTTACAAGATAAAGACGCATTACAGCCTCAGCACATCCCCAAAAACATCAATAAGTAATTATGTCAGCCTTATTCTAGCTGTAGCTAGATTCCTGCTGCTGTAGAGCCACATACTGGACATCTGACAGTGGCGGTCGGTGCCGTTTAAGATGAGGGAGGACGATAATTTTTACAACATATTGGATGACTGTCATTCGTATTACATTCACCCAGCTCAATGTAACATCGATAGGTTTAGGCTACTACATGATACTCGAATTTGACCTATACCCATCATGAGGTTGTCACGCCCTGGCTCTGGGGACGCTGGTATATTGAGCCAGGGTGTGAGTGTTCTTTATGTTTTGTGATCGTTGTGTTCGTTCTAGTAGTTATATTTCTATGTTGGCCAGAGTGGTTCCCAATCAGAGGCAACGAGTGTCAGCTGTTGCTGGTTGTCTCTGATTGGGAACCATATTTAGACAAG